TAATTGCAACAAAAGAGGTGCATTTCAACACCCCTGTGTTGGTATAACTGCCAGTATTATCTCATCCATGGTATAACAACAAACATCCACGAAGATCTTCCAAGCTATTGCGCGCCTCACTTCAGTCTGTCCTGGCTACCTGTGACTTTGAATTATCAGAGTTTCTTCGTTCATACTCTTCTAAAAAACAATGAAGATGAACCAGGAGTGTCACTTCCACAATTTTTTTTGGTATCGCTCCAATGGTTAACTTAGGGTACTTACGTCATTCCTACGGAGCAACGCCATAGAGTTAATGTTAAAATACCGAATGCAAATACTTCAGTGACATGTGACAGGGGCAACTGAAGACTCAGGCTCACAGGTCAAGTCTTCCAGACTTTGAACAATCCAGGCAACAGTTAAACTCTGGGAGGATGTCGACTCTTTTGAATTAATTCTGTAGAGGACGAACGGATTGATAAAAAAGTTCATCAACGACGATTGTTCTAAAACTTCCATTTCAGCCCCGTCACCGGGAGCTCTTCAGTCAAGCGGTGACCTCGAACCTTGACATCTCGCGCTTTTGTAGACCAACAAAAACCGCTCCTCTCGTGATCGGTCCGGGCCGAGATTAAGCGATTGCCGCGATTGAGGATGTGCCATTCTTCAGCGCGAGCGGGGGCTCGGTTTCCGCCCGGTGCGGCTGCCGACTGGCTCACTGGTCCTCTGACTGGCTGGGGACACTGAGGACGAGGGGATCAGGAACAGAGGTGGAGGGAGGGGAGAGGAGAGTGGTCGGTTGCCAATCGCACCATCAGCGCGCACACCTGGCTCGCTCTATATTAATGAGAAGTCGGCCGACACCATAAGGCACCCGGGTCCGTCACCGCCGTCCTGAGCGGGGACGTCCCAGCAAAGGCGGCAGTCGGACTGGCAGAATAACTGGGCCTGGCGACCGCCGACAGCGGTTTACTATCCGGTGATAGCTCATGTGAGAAATGTAGGCTGAAGTTCTGGTGAAAAGGCGTCGCTCCCAGTTGTAGGAAAAGAAAAACAGAAACACCATAAAACCATGAAGTTTGTCATGAATTGCGAGAAATAAAACGAGACGTGAAAGACGTCCGCTACGAGATATACCTCATTCCAAAAGACTCGATTAGGCCAAGCTATCCCTCTAGAACTATTCGAAGCGTTCAATCCAAATAGTGATCAGGACTTAGTCGCAGGCTAACCAGATTGGATGTGTCATGGCACCTAGCTAGATAACCTTCCCGTAGAATATCCATTTCATATCACTTACATCATCAAGTGCTTGTGGAACATTGCAAGTCTCACTTTACAAGTTCAAAGTCAAACCGTTTATAATTTTGATCCAGTTTCTGGAAAATGCCGCTACCGTCGTCCATCATACCATCTTCTCAGCGTTCCGAGCTAACACCACTTCTGTAGTGCCGGCATGCATTTCATGCCGGGCACACCACACGCGGCGTGCATGGTGGGCACGATTTCAAAACGTTTTGGCGCTCTCTGCATTATGCATGAGCAGAGCGGCGCGGCGGATCATAGCGACCATGGTCCACCCGATCACTGGCCCCTGTCGAACACATTCCGCGGTTCCGCCTCGACGAAAAATACGGGAAACCAAGCCCGTTTCTTTGTTCAATGGCCGCAAAAAGAGATGCGAAGGTGGCAAGCGTGAAAGTGAGAATGTGACCGAGAAGGGAGGAGAAGCAGAGTGAAAAGAGAGACAGAGGAAGCAGAGAAAGAGGAGCGGAGAGGGAGGCCAGGCAATAGCCGGCGCGCGGGGCGGCGCCATAAAAATGATTCGCTTGTGGCTGGAGCTCGGTGGGCGGCTGCCGGAGGCCCTATAAGACAGGTAATCCCCCCCGGTCTGGTCACGCAACGCACAGAGCGCGCTCACCACGGGTCTGTGGTCGCGCGGGCGGCGGTCCGGCCGCGGTCCCCGGTCTGTCTGTCTCGGGGACAGCTGTCAGGACAGGGCAGTGTGACAGCCGACCGTCACAGGGCGGACAGCTCACAGACGCGCCACACTCGAGACTGTCACCAGTAAGTGCATTGGTCCACCGTGATGGGCCGAACTCTAATGTAATGACGCCGACTCGGGTGCGTTCACGTCACACAAGTTCCGGCCAAGTGAGTGGGCCATTCAGACCATGTCCGACGGCTATGATGGAGAGTCAACTCATTTTCCCGGAACCGCAATGTTCGCACCAGCAGAACGGAAAATGCTGGCTCCGTTTTGAGCGATTGTTCTGGCATTTTATGAAATTGGACGCCAAATAATTTACATTGTAATAGTTGGGGAAACCGTTTTTTAACAGAAAATAAGGATTTAATTCGACAGAAAACAGCGTACTAAAAAACGTAACTAATAAACGTAAACGTACTAATAGGTAAAAGAACATAAAAATGTTATGTTTCAAATTTAAAATCGAAATAGCTTAATTTCTGAAAGTTTTGTCGGGTCTAAAAGCGATTTTATCAAGCAGAGCGACGTCGATTCAAAGTAACTCCAGCACCACGGAATCTGTTTCATTTAGTGACAAAAAACTGGCACTGTGGGTACAAACCTCCTAAACAGAGCTCTCACAAGGCTGTTGGCAGAGCCGCCGCTGGTCGTTGAGCCTCTGTCGGATCCGACGCGAGGTCGACCGGCGCTGGCTCCACCGGAGAGGAGGGCAAACCGTGCCGTCAATCGGAGACCGCTGGCAAAAACAGGGCCATCCATCGCGTCTGGAGCGGCGGCGACCTCCGTCTGCCATTAGCCGAGCGGGCCGACGCTGGCGAGCACCGGCTAATGGCCGTAGCACGACCGGACGGCGGCAGACCGACCACCGCAGACGGCCCGACGATCCCGACATCTGACCGCAGACGGTCCGACGATCCGGACATCTGACCGCAGACGGTCCGACGATCCCGACAGCTGACCGCAGACGGTCCGATAGAATCATGGCAGTAGGCCTCGGATATGTGACCCGATCCCGACAATGGATGTCCGTTTTCGGCATTTAACCTCCGAGGTCCGACCCGATTCCAGACATTTCAACTCGGATATGAAACCGATACCGATATTTGACCTCGGATGTCTAACGCTTAGAAACTATAGAAGCTGGTTGGTCTCTGACTAACCCTTCACTACCGATTCCCGCCATTACCCCAGGGCCCAGATGCCCCACGGACCTCTCTGGCTCGTCCTCAGCAACTACTCTAGTCAACTCGCTAAGTGATAGAGGCTGCAGTTGACAGTGAACATACCCGGGCGTTCTCCTTGGACTGAACCAGCCGCGCGAAGTCCGATCGAGTTACCGGTCGGCCGTTTGAGAAATGGACACAGCGCGACAGCGCCGGCGAGCGCATTATTATTCCCTGGCCGGCCGGCCGTCTGTATCGACAAATGCGGCGCAGGACACAGCGTCTGGACGACGAAACTGACGCAGCAGCGGCGCTGCTGATGCAGATTGGTGTCGGCGCCCCGCGACTGGCTCCAAATTGAGACCGACTGGCGGCGCCGAATTGGCCGGTGGATGGGCATCTGCTGACGGCCCTGTGCGCCGTCTAACGCGGCCTGACAAGGTCTGACAGGCGCCACCGCCCCGCCGATGGGGGAGACCGCCCTCGGCGCTGTGGTGCTCCGACTCCGCCGCCTCCCCGGTTCCCGGTCACAGTCCTCTGCCCTCTCCGGCTCCCGGCTCCGGTTCTCCCCAGTCCCGGCTACAGCTCTCCGCCCTCCCAGCCTCCCGCGGGCATCACTCTCCGCCCTCCCCGGCTTCTGAATCCACGGCCCCCGCCGTCACCGCCGTCCCTGCAAGCGTGCACCGTCCAAAGTCAGAATGCTACGAGCACCGCTCTGTGTGAAGAGTTATGACAATTTTGAATGGCAGAGTCATGCACGAATAAAATCTAGTTGATCTCGCAAAGTTCAGAGAGGCACTGATGAGCGGATGGAGAATCGGTATTACGTGGCACGAGCGAGCTTTTTAGACGATGGGTTAACAAACATGAAGACCAATGCAATGTATAAATAGGATGATGCGCATTTAAATGTGTTTGTCTCTTAGAGGCGAAATTAGGCACTAATTATCTGTTAAACAAGAAACAGACCGCAACAGCTCCATCTCCGGCATTAGGCCTCAACCGTCTAATTCTAGTCATCGAGTAAAGACCAAGATTAATGCCAAAATTAAGTTACTTTGGAACGATAAAATTACTTTAAAAACTCATAGAGAAAGAAGCCGATACATATGCACCTCACAGAGAGCCGAGGCCACTGGTTCGTGGAATAAAGCGATCGATAAATTCAACATTACGTCACTCGATCAACTGATCACAATGCAACAGCTGAACAACTCAGCTACTAATCAACAACAAGCTGCGAAGTTGATATTCTTTGATTTTTATATACGCTTCAAAACATTTTATTTTTGTCGACTTGACCTGTGACATGAAACCTAACAAAACGCACATCGCTTCTCTGCAAAGGACAGATCACGCGTTGATAGCTTTTTGCTAGCATACCTATAAGAACCCGCAGGCCACAGTGTCCGTCGCAACATATCGCCCATATCATCTGCAAGTATGGGCTCATAAAAGAACACGCAACTTCTATTCGACTCTGAATTGTGTATCGAAGCAATATATATCATGTTAAATATTTGCAGGCATTTATAACAAACGTGTTCCCGCGTTTACCCATGAAGCCAAATGACAAAACTAAATCAAAAGAATGCATGTTACGTAATGATGAATACAATGCATTTGCATATCGATTAACCATCGTCAAAATCCCAGAAAAAAAATAACGTTGTTAGAAAATAATACAGTTCCAGTAAAATACTTTCAAACTACAGGCATTTAACTAAATACCAGAAAACGAAAGTTTACCTATCAAGTTCTAGCTTTTTTTTAATTTTACCGATTAGCCAGTAGCCTATGGCTTCGGGGAAAATCCATTATTAAACACAGAAAATGCTCAATTAGTTGTCATTTTATCTACTGACCTGTAAGTCACTCCAATGACGATTTTGCTCAGGTCACTATCATATCAGCACAATGTAGATTCTCCCAATTCGTCCAGTCTCTGCCACTCTCAGCTGCACCGTTCGTACGAGCCGCCTCGGCAGCCTCACCGCCCAGCTCCCCACTGTCCTCTCCCCACACCGTGCGCGCTCTGCAGTCCTCAGGTGCAGCTCCGCCGCTCCGCTGCTCCCGGGGGCCGCTCCGATACAGCCGCCACGCGCCGCCGCCGCCGTCCGACTGCCGTCGACGACGACGGCGCGTCGGTGGCGGCAGTGGCGCGCGCCGGCCGCCGGTCGATGGGAGCATGTACGGCCGGCCGGCACGGCCAGGTGAGAGAGGGTGAGCTACCATGACTGCCGCCGCAGCTGCCGGAGCACGACACGAGTGGCTCTTGACGAGCGGTGGGACAGGGGAGCGCAGCTGGCGTCCGCGACCCGCTCCTCACCGCCGACCCTCCCCGCGACCCCACTCCCCAGCCTAGCCGATACCTTCCCCCGGTCAGCGGCAGGGGTAGTAAAACGACACCCCGTTCCAGTGAACATTCACCCGCCGCTGTGAGCCTCCAACGCTTCCTGCTAACTCTCCGAGAGTAACAAACAACGTTTATGGACCTTAAACCCGACATTATTGAATTTGCTCCTGTGGCACCCCATCGACCTCTGCGCAGCAGCTCGGGGTCGCGTCCACGGCGTTTCGCTGCCGTTTCAGACGCCCATCGACACGTTTTCGCTCTCCAACCGCCACACTGTTTGTAGTGTTTTACGGGCGGCTGACCGTGAGTCGGGGATTTTTTGCCGGCCGAATTTAAAGGCTACACCACACCGGACCGGGATCGAAATTGCAAACGTCGTCCGCCGGAATTAGACATCGCACGCAGGCAGCGCTCGTGGCGAGCTGGCAAACTGACGACAGCGCCGCAGGTCGGGGACGGGACGTCGGCGTGCGCCGCGGCAGGCGCGCGACAGATGAAAGGAATCCGAGCTACTAAATCCCCGGACAGGATATCGGATCAGCACAGAAGAAAATGTGAACGCAAGGTAGATCAAAGCGTGGCTGGGGAGTGGGGACCCGGGGCAGGGAAGGACGCCGCGCCGGTAGGTACTCGGGGGGCGGCTAATCATCGGATGGACTGCGGCGCCGGGTCGGGTGACCGGCCATCCGCCAAAACACGGCCGCCACAGCTGTCAATTGCCGTCACAGAGACAGGTGGATGATGACGGGGTGACATCAACACTGCCGTTAAGGCTCATCGGGGCCTGGGCCCACAACTGGGACTCGAACAACTGGAAACTGCCGGGCAGTAGCGGCGAAAAATGACGGTGTACAGGGTTGGGCAGATAAATTGGGACAAAATACATATTTGCATTTAGAACGCCGTAGCTTAGAAATTTGTAAACATAGGCATTTCAAATTTGGATCACATATTGTCACACCAATTTTACACATTTATCACCAAATATGGTCACCGTGGTCCACCTGCATCAGTCCTTATTGGTGCCTGGACTGGCCGCACGCGCGGCGAGATCTTCCGTCTGAAATGGCTCGTAATTGTAGCCAACTGGCACTGCTGAGGCCCACTACAGTCACATGGAGACGTTCGTTAGACTCACCCGCAAAAACGCCCCAGCAACCGGAACTTGTGTGGGCTGAGGTTTAATGAGGAAGGGGGCATTTTCCCTTGGGTACAGTTTGCGGGATCCTCCGTTTCAGGAGATTTTGTATTTAATTTACTGTATGCCGGGGAGCTGACTCCTCGAAGAGCATCAATCCATGCAGGATGTTGCCTTCTTCCATCTTGTTGATTCAAACTGCCGGAATAATGGTTAGGTACTCTGTAATGGCGAACCCCCTCCCGATTCCGTAAAATAAGGGGGCCCCATGTGACCGTCAGAAGTCACCGAGTGGAATGCCATCACCGATGTCTGCTGCATGCTTTTTGGAACTAAGATCACGTCTTCGGGGCTGGTTGCGATGTTACATGGTGTTTGCGGTTGTTCATATGTTCGGTAATGGGGATACCATCGTCGAAAAAGACCTGCACGTGCTTGCTGGCTTCTCCAAGCCCTTCAAGAGGAAACAATCTTTTTAACGTCACAGCTGCTTCAATATCTATGTTAACAGGTTAATATGCATCAATGCACAAGAGTACATGTTTGAGGTGCTGGTATATCGCTTTCTCATGGTGCGGCTACCTTCGTTGTAAGCTCGCGCCACTGTTTTCGCAAGGATCCTCTGATTTAACTGAGTTTTGCCTTTTAGCCCCCCTGGAAAACCGGGGGAGCGGCCGGTGTCAATGCAATAGGTATGTAAGGATGAGTCAATATCATCTCTTCCTCCAACGTTTACGTCTGTTCGATACACACCACTTTCAGCCATTTGATGGAGCATAGTTAGAGTATTGGCATGCATGTGCGCGCGGACTAAGGTGATAGTGGCTTGCTTAAGCCCACGTTCTGTGACCAGCCGACTCAAAATTACAACGCAGCCTGCATAACATGGAAAAGTATTCATTAGCCTATATTTATGTTCAAAAATTATCTTAATCGCTCAAAAAATAGTCGTTTTACAGGAAGTTGAAATTTGTCCCAATTTATCTGCCCAACCCTGTACCTAATCAGCTAGGAATTTAAGGATTACAGATTGACATCATAGTTCGATAAAATATTGCACCGTAGATGGGGTTAAACCGTTTCTCAATATCCAAAGAATGGATCATAAAAAACGAACAAAGGTAATACCTACTAAGAATGGTAATACCTACTAAGAATACCTACTAAGAATGAAGATATATGAGCATATTCAGCGATAGCGAGGTAATCATAACAGGAACTATGACATGGAAAACGGTGTCGGAAATACCCAGGCAGATGGCTAAGGACATCATCTAAGCCAGATATATCGCCGACCCGCACAGACAAATGATGGGCGCCCGCTGACTTTTTATCATCGTAATCCTGCTATCTATTCCAACCGCTACAGCCAACTGTGCGAATTATGACTATAACCGCCCAACAATTAAATGTCAGTCCCGTTTAATATTTATCCCAGGGCAACAAAGGAAACATTATTTAATGCACGCATTGCAGTAAAACGAGTACAGTACACATCGTAAAAGCTTACCGCGGTACCACGATCAGGACGTTGAAAGTGTTGGAAAGCAATACAGATTACTTTGGTTGGCAGATGAAGTGTTCGTTTGAGCTTTATGACATTGCAAGGCCTTTCTTATTGTAAACTATGAACCAAAGTAGTAATAAACTTTATGAGTGCCGTATAATGTTGGGACATGGGTCTGCATAAATGACAGTAGAATCACGGTATGTCATCTATCATTCATGAAGTGAGCATTAATTTCGCCATGATGACCAGCTTAAGAAAATCCTGACATTAAGCCATAACTTGACAGAGCCAAAACAGATCGGTCAGAATCGACCCACGCCAAACTATCTGCACGCTCCTGAACTAAATCTAATTGGGGGGGGGGGGGGTCGATGCGACCCCCCCTCGCGATTGGCTCCTATGGCACCTAGAAACACCAAAGTTGGTAGGTAGGTGGACCCCCTGGAGTTCTCGCCCCTGTACAAATTTGGTTGTTCTAGGTCAATATTTAGGGGGGTTTGGGGGGGTATAAATGTAAAAATTTCGCTAAAAACAGGTCAAAAGTTTTTCGCTTATAACTTTTAATCTAATTAAGATAGAGCAAACACAAAAGCACCAGTGAACTCAGCACGTCAAGGCGCGTCGAATGATATACTTTTGCTTGCTTAAGTGTACTTAGAGTTTTTCTTAATTTTTAAGTAAACTTTAATTAATTAATTAAGTTCAAGTTAACCAAATTGCATCATATCGCATATCATTCGATTCGGCTGGTCACCAGGAACACAATGACACCATTTTCTTAGCTCTAGCGTCATTATGTCTCAAGTTATTGGCAAAAACGTCATTTGACCTCAGTTGACCTCATTTGACCTCACCCATGGATAAATACACCAAACAAAGAAGCACCAAGTGACCTGCTGTTAAGTACTGTGGTTTTAAAGCACAAAAGTGATGGAACGAAGCGGATATCTCCAGTATTTTCCGAATTTAGTATTTTCCCATAGGCTTAACATTACGACGCAATGACCTCTAACTGACCTCAGGTCATTGACCTAAAACGAACTATATGTTACACAACTCGGTGAACTAAGCACATCCTGAAAGTTTGAAGGAAATCAGTCTAAAACTGCGAGTTGGACAGGTGTAAAAAGAAAATTGAAATTTGACCATGACCTTGTACCGGTTTTTCTGACCTGGTGACCTGATCCAAGGTCACCCGGACCTGAAATTTTCAGGTCATATGTAAAAAGGTTGCCCCATAGGCTGTTCCAAATTTGGCGGCGCGCCGCCGTTTTTACGCTATCTTCGAAAAACCTTAGGGGGGGTCGCATCGACCCCCCCCCCCCCCTGCCAGGGCGAGGGTTAACGATGTGCCTTATGAGGAAACTAGTTTTGGGCTTCAACCAAAAGTCTACAAAATAAGGTTCAAACGCTCAGCACGAGGCATATTGCGTAACCTATATGTAGGTTACGCATACTATACAGGGTGCGGAAAAAGTTCTGTCATATGCATGATAAGCTCGCCTACGCGCGCTGCGGTTGAGTTCTGGGCAGCGAATAGCCGCAGGCGTAACCTTCGGTGACCTAGCCAACTGGCGGGAGGGCAGAGACTACCAGCCATTCACGGTCAGTCATGAATAGGCAGGCTAAACGTCGCCTCGTCGCTGGGTGCCTGCGCGGGGCGGCCGAATCGGGCATGACCGATAAGCAGGTTGCGGCAAAATGTGGAGTCACCTGGCGAACAGTCATGCGCATTAAAGCCAAAATACGAGCAGGGGAGACTGTCGATACGATGGCTCGATTCAATCCGGTGAATAAACATCCACACAAGGTGATGGTGCGCGGCGTGGTGGGTTCGGACGGCAAGAAGTGCCCAATGAGCCTCATTGACGCCAATGAAAAGGTGAAGAGGGCGGTGTACGAACGTCTGCTG